TGTTTGCCCAGACAGGTCCGTACGCCTCCTCCGAAGGGGAGGTAGTGGAACCTGCCATCCTTGTCTTCGCTTCGACCCTGCCCGAAGCGGTCGGGGTCAAAGACGTCCACGTCCTTGAAGACAGGAGCAGTGTCATGGGTGTCCCGAATGCTGTACATCACGCTCCAGCCTTTGGGGATTTGGAAACCCTGTGGAGAAGAGGGAAGGGGTGGAGAGAAAACCAGAGTGGTTTAACCCTACTGGGAGAGAGAGAGGGAGCAAGAAGACAAGATAAAGCCATTTTGTTGTCATAGAATCAATCACAGAATCCCAGAATTATTTGGGTTGGAAGGACCTTAAAGATCACCTAGTTCCATCCCCTGCCATGGGCAGAGGATCCTTTCACTAGACCAGATGGCTAGTGATGGCTCCAAGCCCCATCCAACCTGGCCTGGAACACTTCCAGAGGTGGAGCAGCCACAGCTTCTCTGGGTACCTGTGCCAGTGGCTCATCAGCCTCACAGTTTTGTCTGTTATGTCCATTTTCTTTGGGTTTATTACTGGAGCATGATGCAGAATTAAAGAAAAACAGAGTACAGCACAAAGGGCTGGAAGATGGAGTTTATCCTTCCCTCTACCCCAGGGACCCACATGATGATCCACTGATATTTGCTTTGTGGCCACTGGCAGGAGGCTCCTACCAGGAACCCTGTGGTGCTTGATTGCAGCTGAGCAGAGGGAATTAGCTACTCCCACGCCCATGCCGTGCCCTACACACCAAGCAGCCCTTCCCAGAGCATCCCACAGCTTCCCACACCCCACTGCCTGTCAGCCCCATACACCCAACACACACATCATGGCTTGGGTGATGAGAAATGGGGTAGAATTATCACCCCCTGAGCACTTTGGAAGGTTTCCAACTGAAATCATAGCATTAGGAGGACTTACAGTGACAAGCCAGGCTTCAAGATTTTGGTTTGCTAGTAGGAAATTCCAGCCATGGCAGTGAGTAATCCTTCCATCATCCAGCAGCCTGGAGATGCCCCTTGCAGTCAACCTTTCCCTTGTCACACCCCAGTTCAGATTTTGGCATCGAACATTGTCACGAGTTGCTCTTTGAAGCATTACTCTTGTCTCTTTGGCAGCTCAAGTGCATCCCTTCCCTGTCATGGGCCAGATCCCATCACCCTCCTCTGAATCCAGAGTGATTACATCTCCCATCACCAGCAAGACCTAATTTATCCCCTCTGAGGCCTCATCTAAGCCAGGCTCAAGCAGGCTTTGCAAGAACATGGGAAAGGCTGTTTTGGGAAGCTCACAGTACAGCCACACCTCAGAGACATGTCAATACTCACATCCAGCTCAAAGGTTTGCAACACCGTCCTGTACCCCCCAGAGATGGGGGTGAAGAGGCGAAGCACCTCCTTGATGACACAGTCCAGGTAGTGGAGGCTGTTGATGTTGTCAAGCCGGAGGGAGCCCTCGCAGATGCAGCCGTTGTGGAGGATTCCCTTGCTGCGCAGCTCCTCCCGCAGCTTCTCCAGGACCCGAGGGTGTTTGAGGAGCTGCATGATCAGAGAGGTGCTGGCACTGGCTGTGGTGGCATAGGCAGCAAAGATGAGCTCCAGGGTGCCATCCTGGAAGACAAGAGAAGAGTCAATGTAAGACACAAGGGCTGGACAGACAGGACAGCAGCCAAGGCACATCAAGGGACAGGCTCACAGGCTGCCAAGGGGCATTCTTCTCCCCAACAGCTCTTCAGTCTAGTCATAGAATCATAAATGGTTTGGATTGGAAGGGACTTTAGAGATCATCTAGTTCCAACCCTCCTGCCATGGGCAGGGACACCTTCCACCAGATGAGGTTGCTCCAAGCCCCATCCAACCTGGTCTGGAACACTTCCAGGGATGGGGCAGCTACAGCTTGGTCATGTCTAACTGCAAGACCTCTCCTCATGCAGGCACAGGTCTTGGACAGCCACCACACTGAGCTTCCTGCAGAGCATCAGAGGATGCTGAGGAATAGACAGAGAGGAGAAAAAAAACTCGGAATGGCTCTTGATAGCACATGATGGACAAGTGATGTCATGAACCTGCTGAGGGCTCTTATGCCCTGCAAAGGACACACCATGAAAGTGGGAGGATCAAGGGCTGAAATTTTCAGTTGTGCCAGAGGAGGTTCAGGTTGGATGTTAAGAAAAATTTCTTCACTGAAAGAGTGGTTAAGCATTGGAACAGGCTTCCCAGGACAGTGGTGGAGTAACCATTCCTGGAAGTGTTCAAAAAAAAGAGTAGACATGGCACTCAGTGATATGGTTTCAGAGGCATTAGGTCTTAGGTTGGACTTGATGATCCTAGAGGTCTTTTCCAACCTTAATGATTCTATGACTCTATGAAATGCTTTTTAGAAAGGGCTGAGCATGATCTGCAAATAAATAAGGTCTGTAGGAAAGCAACTGGTGTGTTGGCACAGTAGTCAACCTGACCAGGAGTCACCTGCAGCTCCACCAACACATTGTGGTCCCCCAGGTATCACTGATCATCTCAGGTCTGCCCCAAAAATCTTCTCTTTACAGCAGCTTTGCTCTTTGAGGAGCCTCTGCCCTGAGCACAGCAAGCACAAGGTGTCCATGGAGAAGAGCTTTACCTTCAGCTCCTGCATGGTTAACTCCTTGCCGTGCTCTTTTCCACTCTCTATCAGGATGTCCAATGCATCAGCATAGTCCTTGCCCTGTGTGTTCTGCAATTTCTCCTGGATGGCTTTTTCCAGCCCCTTCTGCAGTGTCTCCCGTGCCCGGATGCCCTGTGGAGCAGGAAGACATCAGACCATGCCAGACACAACATTAGCACAACCATCCCCAGCCCAGCATCCCCAGGAGCTCGAGATGTGCTCAGGACAACATGTCTAAGTCATAAAACTGCTATTGCAGATGCTCAAAGAGAAGTATAAAGATGCTGAAGTTGTCCCCTGGGCAGGAGGAGTAAACCCTGAGTGGGTGAGATTACAGGCAAGAGTAATCAGCACCTATGTGTAAATGATAGGTCTGGTGTGGGAGCCCCAGTGCTGCACCAGTTCACAGGCCTCTGGCTCACCCTGGGATGTATGACAGCCCCTGGGAAAAACTGTCTCTCAAAGGAAAGTCAATTCATCCCAAAGAATCCTCTTCCCAGGAGCATAATGGGCTTCCCAAACAATTTTATCACCTGGTCTCAGTAAAGCAATTCCTATGGGAGTTCAGCTGCTCCAGGCTAACCTGCTGCTGCAAGTGCTTCGGGGCTGCAAGTGGTTGGACTTGTTCATGTGGTCAAACAACAATGGAAAAAATGGCAGTGATATCCCAAAAATCAATGTTAAATTCCCAAAAATATTATCAAAATTTCTTATGAAATCAGGTCTATGATTTTTGTTACATTTTCATTTTGCATAATTCATCCAAAAACTAGAATAATTCATGGAATTATAAGGTCTCCTGACCTGTTTTGCTCCAGGGGCAGAAGGGAATGAAGAGAAGTGTCCCATGAACAAAAATACAGGAAAAATGCCAGTTATGAGTGAGAAAAAATTAGTCATTAAATCTGGGCAAGTCCTGTCTATATTACCCCTTGCATCAGACCACACAGTCCCTAGGACAAAGACCTATGAATGAGTCTTCGCTTCACTCCACCAAAACAGGACTTTGTAGCCCAAAACTGACTCCCTTCTAGAGGCCACAGGGTGAGAAGAAATCCCACCAAGAACCTGTAGAGGTGCGGATTAGCCATCACCACATTAACCCCAGACTGATGTACCACCTGGTGAAGGACCCAATCCAAATCTCTTACCCTCCTGTAGCCGCTGAAGGGCAGATCCACGGGCAAGGAGAAGACGTTCTCCACGAACTGCTGGTAGACCTCGAAGAGGCGGTTGAGCTCCTCGTCGGGGATGCGGAAGCCCAGCAGGACACGGATGGCCATGCGGAAGGTGAGTTTCTGGGTCTCGTGGTACACATTGATGGACTCAGGGTTGCTGCTCCAGGCCCGAAGACTGTCTTTGATCACCAGCTGGATCTTGGGGAGATAGCTCTCCAGTGCCTCATGGCTGAAGATTTTGGAAAAGACCTACGAAGAGAGTGAGGAGAGGTTTCTACACAGCCCCAACACATTTCTCTTTGTCTTCTCTAGTGAAAAACGGGTATCACAGGTGTCCTGCCCTGAGCAGATTTGTCACCATCCAGAACTCATCCAGAATCAGCAATTCCTAAAACAGCTGGAGAAGCATCAGCTGACAGATCCTCCACAGATCCCCATCACAACCACCACAAACAAGAGGCTATAAGAGAGTAAACCAGAGATGGGAGGAAACACTTCACCCCACACACAACAGGATGGACAGAGCCAGCTTTCCCACAGCTCCGTGTCTCACAGATCCCAGTTATATTCATCCCATGATTTGGATGATATTAAGATATCTCTTCCACAGGAATTCTCTAGTGGCTAACACAGTTGTGTGCACACAGACGCAAACAAGAGCTTTTCTCTCAGCAAGAAGCATTGACAGATCTTCTCACCTACCAACCACCTTTTTTTCTTCAATAGATGCAAAAAATGAAGTAAAATCATTATCTTGGAGCATTTAGGATCTCTGGCTGAACTCAGACAGGAGTTCAAGTGGGGAAGAGAGGCATACACGTACGCAGAGGCTATGATCACACACTGCTCATTTCCTTGGGAAACCAAAAAAAAACCCCACCAAAAGCAGACACTATAAATTTAAGCTCTGCGAGTAAACAGTGCGCAGGAGTGACCCTCCCCAGGTCCCCGATGCTAACAGCTCCTTACTCCAATTTGGGCCCGGGCCGAGCGTTGCACGAGCTCAGTAATGCCAGGAATGTCCCCTCGGCCCTCCCCGGCGCAGCCCACAGCACGCGCTTTCATTCGGCATCCCCACCGCATCCCTCCCGGAGTGCACCGAGAGGGAAAAAAGTGCTGTTTGTTTATTTTTTATTAACCTCCACACACTCGCACACACGGGGCAGGACGCACAC